AGCAACTGCACAGGGACAGAAAACAAAAGGCTCTTTATTTAAAGAGGCTCACGACTCCAAAGAGAAGAACAGGACTGGCACATGGAAAAGTATAAATGAAAAATGTGATTATTTTGGATTCATCTGGCTAGGAATATGGCATGGTCTTTACTGCATGCCACCATAGTTAAGGAGAATAAAGAGGTAAAGGTTGTGTTGTTAGTAGGGTAACATCTCTGAAACTTACTGGCACTTCTGTTCTGTCCCTCATAAAACAAAACAAAACAAAACACTGACACTACAGGCAGGTGCCCTGTGTCTCAGCTATCCAGAAGGCTGAAGCAGGAGGATCCCTTAAGCCCAATGCCAGCCTGGGTGACATAGCAAGACACCCATCTCCAAAAATAAGCACAAACAAAAGCAAAAATAATCCAACATTAGATACTGTCCCTTTAGAAAATGACAACCTTCTTGAAAATAACAACCATTAATAAGTCTAACAGATTTTTAACAAAAAGGAACCCTGTTAAACTCAAGAGCCCCTGACATGAATGATGCTAACTTTTAATCTTAGTGTCTGTAGGTCAAATTTCACTCTTATAAACAGCATTTCATACATATGTTTCCAACAGCTACTCACAATAACCCCAGGAGTCTGAGAGAGCAGGAGCTGCTATGCTCCCTGATAAAAGCACTTGCTGCAGCTTACAAAGGTGCCAGGCATGTGAGCAGCAGCCAGAGTCTGGATTAAAATGCAGGCCTTTGAATTCAAACATGGTAATTTCTTGCAATGACAGGAAGAACCTAGACATTGAGCTCTTCACTTTTTCAGGGGGTGGGGAGGTGCTGGGGGTTGAACCGAGGGCCTTGAATATACTAAGTACAAACTCTACCACTGAGCTACCCGCCCAATCCAGTGTTACTCTAAGTAGTTAATTCTGTATGGACGCTATACACTGTTCACTGAAAACAGCAAAACCAGAAAGGCAAAGACACCACAGAATACCACGAAGGGAGGCCCAGTACAAGCAGCATGCAAGATCCAGAATAATACCTCCCTTATAAAGTATTTCCTTCCTAAATGAGATTGTACACACATGCAAGGATGACTAACAGTCTAGGGCACAGCTGAATTTACAGAATGAGGAGATGTAATATATTATTAGCATAGCACTTCACTAGTACTGAGAAAATCACTCAAAAAAGGAAAAGAAAAAGGAAGCCCAGGATATCAACTATTAACTGACTCCTGCACCTGGATACACACTGTTCACCTGGCCAGCTAGTGGGTCGCTACTATCACCATGACATCAATAACCCAGGTCATGGTGCCTGATGTAGGGCCTTAGCATGGGCTGCAAGTCACAGACCTTGATTTGAATCCCAACCCCACCACTCAGTAGGCATGTGATGTTAAACAAATTTCTGAGCCTCAATTTTCTTATAAGTGGAAAAACAGTTCCTATTTTACAGGGTTGCTGTAAAGATTAAATGAAAATATAAATAACAAAACAGCTAAGACAATACCTGCCACAAGGCAGACACTCAGTGAAAGAGAGCTAGTCATATTAGAAATATCATGAAAACTTCGAAAAATGTAACGCCAAGGAGTTGAAAATTAAACTACACTCACAGGGGACAACAAATAAAGCATACAGAGGAATTAGCAAAATGTGATTCACAGTCGCGTGTGTGTCCTTGGTTCGAGGACCATCACTTATTCTGCCATTCTGGCTCCTGGAGACACAAAATAATGTGAGAAGTACATTTCTTGGCTTAATCATCCTTACTACACTTTGTTTTTCTTCACCCCTACCCAATCTTCCCCTGCTTCTAGATGCAAGCTTTTGTTCCCCGTCAAAGTGCTCTCCACAGCTGTAAATAATCTCTCTCCCGCTTTTATATTACCTTTCAAATATTTATAGACTGTTATTCTCCTTCTCTCCAAGTCATACATCATTTTTGTTGCCCTTCCCCTGGATTCTCTCTGGTTTATCTACATCTTTTAGAGAAAAACAAACCCCAGGTGCTTCAGGATGGAGAGAGAACCCCCAAAGCTAACAACCTCAAACCAATAAGGTCCCTTATTCAAAGCCACAAAACATTCTTTGATGTGCCTCTCACTCCTTTTCTCCTATAACTCATAATTCCATCTCTCAGATAACAGCTGAGAGAAAAAGAGTAATAAAGCAAATGAACACTGCCTCATCAAGTGGATAGGGCTCTGTGAGGTAGCAACTCCTGGAGTGGGATTAGGACCTCTCAGATCCCTCTCAAAGCTTGCTAATGAGGAGTTATGTACACTATGCTTTGTATCTACCTGTTAATGCCTATTCATCACTGCATTTGGTACCAGCGCTAGTTGAGTAGTGCCCTTGAGACTCCCTAGTACTGTTTTGCCCTTCAGGAAAAACTGAACACTTTGTTTTCAGATAAACACATATTCAGGGATTTTTTTTTTTTTAAAGAAAACGTCTGTAACTAAATTCTTAAAAATAATCACCTCATAACAAGGTGAGTCCTATTCCTCACAGTGGACAACAGTGAGACACCCAGTTCTGCTTCTCCATGTTTCTTTCTGAAAATGGTGACGTCCAGGGTTTGAATATCAGAATACTCCCTTACCCCCAGCAGGGCTGTGTGGATGGACCCTGCTTCTTAATCTCATATACATGTTCTGGTGGCTTCTAGAAATGCGCCTTCTGTGAAGGGCAGCAAGGTAGTAGAGGTGCTTTACTTTGTTTTGCTGATAGTAGCCTCTCCATCTCAAGAATCTGAGTAGTTGTGTGATTATGCAACACCCCTCACTCCCTTTAAAAAAGAGAACAGATGAGTGACACTGAAGACATCTATCAGCAAAGCCCACAAAACAGAAAAAGAAAAACAAGATCATGCAGAGAAAGGGAGATGTTGAATTACATTTTATCATGGTGGCTTAAAACACTTACCATGTCTGCATACAAAAGAGGTGTCTCTAAAATTCCTGCAAGGATATAGGGGAATGTGATGGTTTATAGAATCCTCACCCAAAGATATAATTCTTATTGTTAATGTAGCTTCATTTTTGCAAAATCTAGCATATGGGTATAGGGTACACCACATCCAGGTTCATTCACCTGTTTTTCATATTAGTATCTGAAACTCAAATTCTAGGACTTGCATATACCTCAATTTTTTTTTTTATTTTTTATTTTTTTGGTACAGAGATCAAACTCGGGACCTTGTTCTTACAAGGCAGGCAGCACCACCACTGAGCTAAATCCCTAGCCCTAAAAATAATTTTTATGGCTTTCTTATACTTGATGAAAAACTGCACACCAGACGTACAGTATCTCATGAAAAAGATGAGCACCATAGCAATTCTAAGAGAACTACAGGACATAAATTATTATTTTATTCATTTCACAAATGAAGAAATAGATACACAAAGAAATGAAATGACCTGCCCTGAACCAAAGGTAAGGAACTACCTGCTCCTTCCATCTGGAGTACTCCCTCCACAGATCCTCAAGAGTCTGGTTCCCTACCAACCAGGACTAGCTCCAACTTATCTCCTTAGAGAGGCTTTCCTTCCCTGACTGCCCACCTTACTGGAAACAGCCACTGTGCACCAGTCACATCCCTTGTATCACTTTGTTTTTCCTTATAACACCATTTCCAGAAAATATCTTGTTTCTTTATTGATATCCTAGTTTATTAACTGTCCCAACCACCAGGAAATATAAAGCCCACAAAAGACTGATTTTTCTACACTGCTATGTATCACATACTTAGAATAGGGTCTGGCCCAATGCAGTCACACAATGAATACTTGTTTAACAGTTAATTTTCTATAAATGGAAAA